AGCAGACAAATCCCCTGCACAAAATGGAATCTTTCACTGTGTGAAATGCCTTTTGTAAATCTAAATGTCCCAGTGTATAAAACGTTTGAATTCTGTGTTTTAATGTGATCTATCAGATAAATTAGGCTTGTATCCATGGAATATGATTCAGTTTCCTAGACTGATTTTTCATACAGTACAGTATATTGCTTTCAGCTTCCAGTAAGTATATTTTGAAGTCAATTGAAACTTCCTTCTCTAAGATTCTAGATTTGATGCTCAATGCTTGCTTGCTGGTAGATCCCTACTTTATATTGCTTTTCTTAAACAAGGATTTTATTCATGCTGTCTTGAGTTCATCAGGTACATTATTACTTAGAATGACTATACAAATAGTAAGTGTCTTAAGGGCATATCTTATGAATCTGGCAGATGTACTGTATATACTTGCTTTTAAGTATAGTCCAACTACAAACAACATAGATCCTGATCTGTCGTTGTATAATGCACCAGCATGTCAGTTCCTAAGTTGTTTGCTCCAATTAACTACAGACCCAGATCTGCAGATGCATTATGTATCAGCAAATCTGGGTCTGTACAGTTTGTAGTTGGACTCCTCTTATAAGTGAGTATAGATGATATATTATCAAATCCTCTACTTGGATTGGATGGGCTTTGCCTTACAAGAAAGGTTGGTCATTGCTTCATAAGGTTGGTTTCAGTTCAGTAGACTGAATAATCTTGGTTTTTTTTGTTATTAAAGTAATTTATATCTGCCATTTTGTCCTGATGCTTCTCTCACTTCTTTTTTTTTAAACAGATGCACAGAATCCAGACATATGTCCCCTCCCTGGGGCTTGCCCCATAAGTGCCCCTGGTGATGAGAAATTTCGAGTCTTCATTTTCAGAAGGAAAAATTTATCAAGTTATCTTGATTATTTCTGCAAATTGTGTTTCAATAAATATGTCCACATCAGCACATGCCAGATGAAAAAAAAAGACTGGTCATCTCCAACATTTGAAAGAATCAGTAATTAGAAACCACTGTCATATATAATATATAAGCAGTTCAATATACCATCTTACACTATGTTTAGGATTAAACAATGATTATTTTGATCTCCAGAAACTTGGGGACAAAGAAAATAATTTCATCAAAACTGTTAAAAAAACCTAGTTTGTGGAGGAGGATGCATGATCAACCAGAAGTTGGCTATTTAATGAAGATGTTTGCAATGTATATATTCTGAAATTTTGATCTATATATCAATGATTTTGATATCTTATATCAATGCTTTTGTTTCCAAAGAAGAAAATACCTGTATCAAAATAGAAGATTGTATATGTTGGACATGTTTTGAGTCCCCAAAACTGTTGTACATGATATATAACACAAAGAAAGCCAGCTTCTTCTATTTAAATTTTCTCAGTTATGGTAAATTACTCTGATTGGTAAATTTCTATGTTGTGAGAGCAGATGTCCTGCTTCATTTCACTTGAAGCTGAAAAACTTGTTAGTGAATAATATTAAAGGCTTTTTTGTAGTATGCAGTGTCCATAATTATGTTCTTGCTCATTGTTATAGTTCAGAATTCTATTCACTATCTTCCTTGTGAAAAATGTGATATTTTTAAGCAACTTAAAATTTATGTAAATGTTGATTGAATGAGTGCATTCTAGTCATTAGAATATGTAAATGCAGAACAACAAAAGTCTAATGATAGCATTGTGAATGGTGTAATGTATGTCTTTGAGAATTATTGTGATAATTGAATGTCTGCACTTTGTGTGTGAGTGTGTGTGCATACATATATGTGTGTGTGTGTGCACAGGGCTACAGATGAAAGAGCAACTGCTGTTTGACTGTAGTTGAAAAGAAAGTAAATAGTAAATTAAATTGCAGGAATAACAGAGACAAGGTGGCATTGAGTAGTGAAAGGTAATTATTAGAAATAAGAGGCTAAACATTTGGGTGAGTAAAGTCTCAGAATTATGGAGAAAAAAATAAGAAAAACTTTTGATTTCATTATCAGCCAAATGTCAAATGAAAATATATTGCATTATCAAATTCGTGTTGAATCTGAATTTAAGCAGTCTTGGAGTTATGTATTATAGAACCACATAAAAACTTGTTGTTTACAGTATGTACCACTATTACTCATGAGAAAGTATGTAGTTTGTATTCAATGTGAATATTAAATGGTTCAGTGTGTTTTTTCTTCATGTTAAATTGCAGTGGTTTTCACTTGATTTATTGGTATGCATATCTGATCAGATTACTTTATAAGAAGGGAGTAAATGTTTGCTACTCAGAGGCGATTCAGATTCCAAAGGTGAAATCCACTTTCCTGATCACTATAAATTGGTTGTTGACATTCTGTATATTGTATTAGGAATGTATGCCAATGTTTTACATTGACGACAAAGGCAAATAGAAATCTTGGATAGGTAATGACTCTTTTTTTAAACAAATGTGTTGAATACTTAAAACACTTCTGTTTACTAAGCATACTATCAACATTATGATGATTCTTAATTTTTTTAAAAATTGCCAGTGAGAAAAAATATGGGTGTCCAAAAACTAGGGCAGAGATGTTGCTCCATTCTATGTGTTTGTGTACTTTGTAGCATAGGGAGTCAAAGTTTATTTGTATTTTCGAATTTTTAGAACTTGAAAGCAGGAAAAAATCATTCAGTTCAGGAAAGAATTGATATATACTGTAAGTATAGTTGTTAGATATATAAGTCTAAGGTCTAGTATGTGTAGATACTTAGATACTGCACATATAAAACTAAGGCCTGTCTTGGAAGTATCTGTTATGAGTAGGTTTCTTATTATAACCTAAAACTAAAGAATTCTTCTCCAGGGGATTTTTATGAACTTGTTCCGAGCAGTTTTTCCCACCTGAGAAGTAAATATTATAGATCTTTTTTTTATATCATAATGTTTTAAACCACTTTGTCGTGTCATATAACCCTATGACTGTTGTAATAATTTTCTGTAAAATAAATCCATGACACTTGTAATTTCTGTATGTCATATAAGTTAGTGACTGTTAATAACTTTCTGTAGTGTAAACACATGACTCCTGTAATTCTGTATGTCTTAAATTTGTGTCTCCAGTAACAACTGTTGTACAAACCCATGATTTGAGTAATCACTGTACGTCAAATAAGCCCAGAACTCTTAAAATCACTGTCATACATTAGTGACTCTTGCAAACATTGTCATTTAAACTCATAACTCTTGTAGTCACTGTTTATCTTGAATCTGTGACTCCTGAAATCACTGTCTGCCATATAAATCCATGATTAATATAAATGTGACTCTTGTAACCAATCATATAAACCCAAAAGTCTTGTTATCACTGTCATATACATCTATGACATGTTATAAATATGTCAAATAACACATTCCTCATATAATCACAGTATGTCAAAATAAACTTGTAATCTTGTAATCACTGTATGTAATTTAAATCTGTGAATTTTGTAGTCTCTGTCATATAACCTATGCTTCTTGAAATAGTTGTATTATTATTAAAAGTGGATAACCAACAACAAATAACTACCATATATACTAAGTTAAGGCTATTCGCAAACTGCACAGATCCAGATCTGCTAGCACATAATTTGCTGGCAGATCTGGGTCTCTGTATTTTGCTAGGATTAATCAGTTCAACAAGCAGTGTAGACCCCGACTCTGTCAGTGCAATATTTCATGTTGTTTGCAGTATGGTTTGACTAACAATAGAGTATATATGGTACAACCATATCCATAGAAATACAGTGAAAAAATTTTGTAAAACTGACTTGAATATCATTGTTAAAAATGTAAAGTAATTCAACTGAAACATCTATCCTCAGTACTAAATAGTTCGGCAACTGGTAATTGTATTTGACAAAGTCAGGTTGCATTGTTGTTTACATGGATTTGTCCAGAAAATTGTGGCAATTTTCATCTATATAACTGATATAGCCAACAGTTCCATATATATAAATTTTACTTGTACCATGCAGTTAATTGATGGATGGCAGTTTATTATGAACAATGTAGAGAATAATTTCTGGTGTTCTTGCTAATCTGGATGTCAATTTTTCTCTTTTTGTACAAAAGAAAAATAATCATTTTTTGCAGCCAGTTTGCAGTTACAGATAAGATCGGCATAGCCATCTTCGTATTTTAAGGTTTTGGTTACATTTTTTCATTAGCATATTTTCACAGACTTCTTGGTAAGAGTCTTATCATTCATTGCTTGAATTATTAGGAAACTGAGTCAATTAATTCTAGAGCCAGCATGCTCACCACTAGTACTTTATAGTCAGACATAGAGAATATCTATTATTGTTTTCATTCAAGTGTTATGTTTGTATATATTGCTTAAATAACTTTTACTTTCTTTCATACCGTCTGTATATCTTTCAGCAAAAACATCATTTGGTGACATGCATTGTCCAGTTTGACTTTGGGGTCAAGATTATTCATGCAGAATTTTCGTATTCTGGTTTTGGTTTAAGTTTATTCATTTGCTTACCTAAACCCATTGAAGGATTTTCTACATACTTTAGGTCAATCATCATGATGTCATAAGTTCATTCAGCAACATGTATTTTCACTCCTTTTATCAACACTGCATTATTATATTATTTCTATTCAGCTGATGAAATGGATGCAGTTTTCATTTTATTAGTAGACATTGTATGAAAATAATGTGTATTTTGTTGTGCTAATGCTTTATGAGATTGTTACTTTCAAAGACATTTTTTCAGTTTAATGTGATGTGATGTGGTTATGATTTTTAACGTAACTTTACAAAATTTTCAGTCATATCCCAATGATGTCTGCAGTGTGGCAGTTTATAGTGATGTCTAGCACTGGGGCATCATGCCGCAGACATGTGGCATGATGTCCCACCCAGTCACATTATCCTGACATCAGGCCGACCAGTCCCAACACTAACCTCTTAATGCAGAGCATCAAGCAAGGCAGCTGTTAGTACCATTTTTGTAAGTCTTTGGTATGACTCGACCGGGGATCAAACCCACGACCTCCTACATCCGAGGCAGACGCTATAACAACTAGACCACTGGAGCGGTGTGGGGTTTTTTTATTTTTTATTTTTTAGTTAAAGGAATAAGAGTCCGAAATGTACGTCTTTTTCTTCAAGTATTATGTGTTTAAGTATTTTTGTCACCATCATTTGTGTAATTGATACTTTACATTTATTTTGTTTTGTTTATTTTAAGGAGTGTGAGTCAAAATGTCTTTCCCTTACAATATTATATTATATACCAGTATATACATATTGTATTCTTTTTTCAGTCAGTTCACCGACCTTTGTTCATTCCATACTTTATAAGATTCTTTTTTACAAGACTGATTTTATTTTCTTCCGTTTAAGGCATTGGTTCTCAAATCCCAGGTCGCTACCCATATCAGAGTTGCAAGTTCATTCTCGAGGGTCATGAGGGGTTGTTAAAATTTTGTTTTGGATGGCAAATGTAGAAAAGGGTTATTAAGGCTCAGAAAAAAAAATATTTTTAGGGTCACAGCCAAATATTGTTGAGAACCATTGGTTTAAGAAGTACTGGTCAAAACATTTTTCCCTTCCAAATTTATTTACACATGTGTTTTTATTTCACTATCTGGTCAACAATGTTTGTTATGCAGATACTTGTCAAGGGAGGTTTTTTTTATGTCAGTCTAAGGAATACTGGTCAAAATGTCTTTCTCTTACGAAATTATATCTGCATACACTGTGCTCTTTTTTCACCATCATTGTTTCAGTGTAATTGGCCGATGGGGGCTATGTTCCAGTAAAACATGCATTGGATCCAGAGAAGGTACTTTCAGATTTGATTAGTATTTTTGCAAGATGTTCATGAGAAATTGGAGTATCTTGAAGATTTTATTAAATAAAATGAAAACCCCGCTTAACTGGATACAAAATATAGTTAAATTGATTGGTTCTTAATTGTAAAATTGTGCATTTTTTAAATGGAGATTAAATACAGATGCATAAAATATTTTAATAACGGCTTGTTTTGCAGATTTTATTTTTGTAATACAGTTAGGTGTTACAATGAGGCAAACTGCAGCTTATTAGTGCAGTTGTTTTTTTATCTATGTATAATATAATCAACTGCAGTTAAGATAGACACAAGTCATTTATATAGTGCACTGCATGGGATGTTTGGTTAAAAAACCTGTAAAATGCAGACCTGCTAACCCATTTGATGCATTAATGAAATGACCCTTAAATTACAAATTTACAGAATAAGAGAAACAAATTATGAAAATGCAATCAAATCTGGATAATGATGGAATCTTTGTTTGATCTGAATGTTGGTTTAGGTAGGTTGAAGATGAAAAAGACAATAAACCTCCTCAAATGTTTAAAGAAGCAGTATGTATTATTCAGATTCTTTTTTGGTGAGGAAACAGGAAAGGCAGCATTTGTATTCATCAAACATCATCTATTGACTTCAATAGATGATAGCTGTTGGCACATGATATTCAGAAAAAAGCTAAAGATTATATTGAGTTGGAAGAATAAGCAGGGAACCTTTGAGCTCGATGGGGTTTGGATCTACACTTTTTGAAACTCTGCTTGAGGTAATTAGTGTGAAAGTGTAAAAAAATAATTTTTTACTTGAACATAATGTTTGTCTTTGCTGCATAAGCCACAGGTCATGCTTTTAAGATGTTTAAAAACATATTTTCCAAGTTGACATTAGCCGTACATGATATTGTTAATACCTTACTAAATATTGGTTGAATTTATAAAAAAAATTATAGCCTGCCTTACTGTAAAGGTCTTGTTAGGGTCTGCAGGTCTGAAAATGATCAATATATAAATGCTCTGATTTGCAGATCTTGGTCTGTTTACTTTAGTGTGTGCATTACAATTAAGCATTATGTTATGTATTCTGCTGTGAAAGTGAAACAAGACAGAATTCTATGTGCCAGTGAAGCAAGCAAGATATATGCTCACTTATAAGTCGAGTCCAACTACAAACATAATGTGGCAGCAGATATGGGTCTATGTAGTTTGTTAGGATTAATCATTTGAACAAATAACAGAGACTGATCGACCAGCATATTATGTGATGGCAGATCAAAGATTGGTTTTTGCAGCTGGACTAGTCTTGTAAATGATTATATACAGTAGTTATGAATTGTTAAGACATAGCTGTCACATCTCTGGCATAAGCAGCAGTGGCAACAACATCCTAAATCACATCTACATCAGTGTTTATGTCAACCAACAGCTTTAATAGAATATGTCTGAAGTATGTAAGCTGCTATGCTAGTCTGTTTTGCCTGCTTAAGCAGAAAACTATTTCTCACAGGCATTACATTCGACTGAAAACACAAAACTTTTTACTGCACTAGTATGTTTTGAATTGTGCAAAACTTTTGTGGGATATATTTGACTATTCAATGTAGAGCATATATACTTGGAATGTTCACATCTGGGACCATCTTTGGTAAAGTTATGCAGTAAATTGTTGCTCATATGTATGTCCCATTCATTTATCATTCTCAAAATTGTCAGTATATCAATGTTTTATCCAAGAATATATCCATTTGATTCTGGATAGGATTATAGGGTTTTAAAATGTATACACTTAGAGTCAAGTTTTATTGCAAGTTTTTGTATACATCTGTATAATCATTCATTTCATCAGAACTCCAAGTTATGAATTTTGTTCTTTTCAGGGCTATTGAATGTTAATAATGGTTACTGAAAATATATTGAATGTTGCAACTTGCTTTGTTCAGGGAGGAGTAGGGGATGGAAGGGGGCTTTTCATAGGGATACTTTTAATCCAATGTCATGAAACTTTATGCATGGAAGCATTTGTATAGTATTTCAATACCATCTTTCCTTATCCATTCTTCATACTTTAATTACTTTTAAGAAGATTTTTACTATTTTACCTGTAGTTATTAAATTTGAATTTTTTTATTTTTGTTCTTTGTAAACATGTTCTTATCAGTTGTCCTAATTTTTAGAGAGATTGTTTTGATACTTTGAAAAGGTACTTGTGTCCAAGTAAAGGTAAAATACTTGGACAGGATTAATATTTTGAGTCCGGTTTCTATTAAACTATTATGAGTAGCTTTTCCTGGGTCAGTGGTTCTTTACGGGGTTTTCCTGGGTTCTTCCTCCACCATTAATACTGATTGCCATGTATAGCCTATCATGTGCTGAAAAATGGTGTTAAACCCTACAACAACAAAAACAACAACAATGAATTATGTGAGTGTGACTCTTCATCCAGTGGTCATTAAATTTTATATATCGAATCATCTGAAGTCATTATAGGTCATCATGACATGGGGGGGGATAATTTAAAGGGTTTTGTGTTTATTTTCATTTCTTATCTTGGCAAGTATTAGTCCTAGAGTTGTACAAGTTTGGACTTTTTATTATGGGTAACCATTCTCTGGATGTTTCACATGAAAGTCAGCATGTATAATTAATTCATGTAAAAGGTAAGTGAACTCCACTTAACTGTCTGCTTCTTTGATATATCTATCAGTATATAGTAAAATATCTTAGATTTTGCAAGCAATGTTGTCAAGAAGACATTTTATGCAAATATTATTTATATGTTCTCGGTTTTTGTTGGTTTTTAGTCATTTAAAATACTGCAACAACACATTCTTCAAGGCAATGTGCAATTGTGTCCCTTTTGTTATAGGCATGAAGTCAGATTGCCAAATGAATAAGTGGGATGTTCATTAACATACATCAGAAAAATAAGAAATACATGTACACAGAATGTGAAAGAATTTGATCACTTTACAGTAAAGAGAAGCATTTACAAAATACATAAATTTCTACTGTACCATATTTGCTGAAATGGCTTTCTTCCAGAGGAATGTAACTTGTGTATCTGCGAAGGGAATGTGTAGATTAACCTAGTCACATTTATTTGTAACAAACTTGTTTCATACATAATGTTTGATATAAATGGAAGTTATATTTAGTAGACTGTGCACATATATATATATATATATATATATATATATATATATATATATATATATATATATATATAAAGATTTTAAGATTAAATTTCAGTAGTTTAGACCATACAGAATGCCATTACTTCTCATGCAATCTTTTCTAGAACTGAGATTTTAAAACGAAAACCCCACCTACACATTTTAATCCAAAAGGGGAATTTTCCAAAGATATGGGAGGTTGCAAACAAAAATAAGGCTTTCCAGATATGTTGCAGTATTTCCATGCTTTCAGTTGATGTTTGGACTTGATTATTAAAAGATCAGCAATAATCTTGCAAACATATGACTACTCATATTTGAGAATATCCATTGTGTTATTGAACAGTCATGACCATAAAACTGTGCATCTTACATTTTTTGAAGTGTGTACATGGACCTTGTGATTAAAATCCACATGGGCCTGGATTTATTTTAGTGAATCAAATTCAATTAGAACTTTGTTTTGTCTTTACTTCTTGGGAACACCAATAATTGCTAAAATGTTAATAACACTTAAATTATGTGATTTAAAGATCCTAATATATGTAACACATCAAAAATGACAACTACATGTACAAACTAGTCCTGAAGTTTTTAACCATGATTAGATCTCGACAGCCACAGTATACCTCTCCCTTGATACTTGAACATAACAGCCTCCAAAAACATAGACTGCTCGAGTTAACCCCGGACACACACATACCCCCCCCAATAATCACACTTGATGTCCAGGAGAATTTGATTAGGGAAGAATATATTTTGTGTCCTGTGTACATTTGAATCACTGGCTTCTTGCCAAATCAATGTGCTGTATAGTTTTGTCTGTGAATGACTTGACATAGGTACACTTTTTTCCCCAATTGTGTTGTCATAAACATCATTCCATGTTCAAGTTCTTGAAAATTATATACACTTATTACACACTCAGTGAATCTTACTTGTTTGAGTGGGTATTCACTGTAGTTTGTTCAGTCTGTATTCCATATCACGCATCCTAATTTGAACTACATAGTTTTATTCCTTAAAGTCCATGTGTAGATATTTTCAGATGCAGTGAATCAAATGTTTATAAATC